AAAGGTTAAAGGAACTTAACATGTATAGGTTGCAGGAAAGACGAGACGGGGGGATATGAGAGAAACATTTAAATGCATAAAGGGAATCAACACAGTAAAGGAGGAGACTATATTTAAAAGAAGAAAAACTACCACAACAAGAGGACATAGTCTTAAATTGGAGGGGCAAAGGTTTAAAAATAATATCAGGAAGTATTACTTTACTGAGAGGGGAGTGGATGCATGGAATAGCCTTCCAGCTGAAGTGGTAGAGGTTAACACAGTAAAGGAGTTTTAAGCATGCGTGGGATAGGCATAAGGCTATCCTAACTATAAGATAAGGCCAGGGACTAATGAAAGTATTTAGAAAATTGGGCAGACTAGATGGGCCGAATGGTTCTTATCTGCTATCACAATCTATGTTTTATTTGTGTACTTTTACACATGCTCTAACGTCTGCTGACTTTACAACCTGACAATACTAAGCCCAATCAGCATTCCCTATCTGTACAAGTACGTAGAATTTGGAATGATTATCTTTATGATACATATATTATAGCTTGGGTCCTTGCCGAAATCCCATTATGAATTGACCTCTAAATCTAACAGCTCATAAATGTTAACAGGGTTGCATGTTGATTTGCTTGTTTAAAAGATACACACAAAAAAGGATTAGACGAAGACAATAGTTGGGGAAGCCAAAGGTCAGGACAGGCGGCACAGCTTGAGAAGCGATGATACAGGCAAGGGTCAAAATCAGGAACAGGATCAGGATGCAACAGGAGAGTCTCTGAAGGTCTTTACACAATCAGGAGCACAGTACAACTGAGCGTAGAGTGAAGGGTGTGTACGACTTAATTAGGGAAAGTGGGTGGTCTTCTTAATTGAGGTTCCACCCTGGTCTCCACCTCCTGTACCTTTAAAAGGCACTGTGTTGGCGCATGCGCACCCTTTGATTCCCCTTAAGTTCTTCCTTCAGTGTGGTTGCACTTGGAAGCAGCAGCGTTCTCACAAACAGACTTCTGTTCGTGCTGTGTTCAGGAGCCGGCGTAAGTACGAACGGAATTCTGTCTGCAGTATAGGTGAGTAGCATTTGCATGAACAGAGGTGGCATTCGTACGCATGGAGTTCTTCCTTTTGTATCTGATAAGTAGAGTTTGTGCGAACAGAGGTGCTGTTCGCATGATCGTGAGCAGTCGGCGTGGGTGATTGAACTGACCGACACGCTGTCCTCATGGAGTGAGTGAGAGATGTGCTGTGGGAGCGCGAGGTTGGTGAGTGAGGGGACAAGTACCTGATATCCATATTTCACTAAGTTTTTGCTCTATTTTTTTCTCTTTTTGTCTCCTTTTCTCCTCTATTTTCTTTTTTTTTTCTCATTTGCTTATTGACACATACAAACACTAACATAATGTTTTGCTTTCTTCATCACGTTACTTATTTTTTTCATTTAAAATATTTGAATGACATTCCCCATGTTTTCTCTCATACATTTTTCTTTTTAAATTATTTTTCTTTTCTTTTTTTCTGCAGTTTCTTACTCATACAAATTATGATTACTATTACCTTAAATCAGTATGTCTCATTTCTTCATTTTTATGCCTGTTGAGCATTTCTAATTCATGTTCCATGTTTTTCTTTTCCTGTTTTTGAATAACTCTTGATTGCATTTTGCTTTCATATATCTTAGATGCCTCTCAAATACTGTTTTTGTGTAACAAGAAGGATACATTTTTATATTAGTTTTGAGATTATATTTATTATTATTTTTTTTTTTATTGTGAGGCACACTCAGAACTTTTCTTTTTCTCTGCAGTGGTGCTGCTGTAAAGGCCAACATAATATACAATGTGGATTAAGGAACAGCGCACGTACAACACATATTCAAGTACTATGATATAGTGGTGGGCTTAATTAAGGCCATATGGTGTATTTGTAACCAATTTCCCATATTTTTTTGCCAAGATAGGTAATTTTTAGTAACTTTATGACATTTTAAACTATATGTTCTTTAACCTGTAGTTTTAATTTTTTTTCCTCCTCAATCTGTTTATAGTGGTTATCATGGTAACCATTTCACTGGCAGTGTCATGTACCATGTGGGTTTGGGTTTTGTCACATCTGATGTATCACACTTGGTACACACATTTACAATATACAATGAAAATATGAAAAAAAAAAAAAAAAACTTGTATCACTCTATGATAAACATAGAAACATAGAATGTGACGGCAGATAAGAACCATTTGGCCCATCTAGTCTGCCCAGTTTTCTAAATACTTTCATTAGTCCCTGGCCTTATCTTATAGCTAGGATAGCCTTATGCCTATCCCACGCATGCTTAAACTCCTTTACTGTGTTAACCTCTACCACTTCAGCTGGAAGGATATTCAGTGCATCCACTACCCTCTCAGTAAAGTAATATTTCCTGATAATATTTTTAAACCTTTGTCCCTCTAATTTAAGACTATGTCCTCTTGTTGTGGTAGTTTTTCTTCTTTTAAATATAGTCTCCTCCTTTACTGTGTTGATTCCCTTTATGTATTTAAATGTTTCTATCATATCCCCCCTGTCTCGTCTTTCCTCCAAGCTATACATGTTAAGATCCTTTAACCTTTCCTGGTAAGTTTTATCCTGCAATCCATGAACCAGTTTAGTAGCCCTTCTCTGAACCCTCTCTAAGGTATCAATATCCTTCTGAAGATACGGTCTCCAGTACTGCGTACAATACTCCAAGTGAGGTCTCACCAGTGTTCTGTACAATGGCATGAGCACTTCCCTTTTTCTACTGCTAATACCTCTCCCTATACAACCAAGCATTCTGCTAGCATTTCCTGCTGCTCTATTACATTGTCTGCCTACCTTTAAGTCATCAGAAATAATCACCCCTAAATCCCTTTCCTCAGATGTTGAGGTTAGGACTCTATGAAATATTCTGTACTCTGCCCTTGGGTTTTTACGTCCAAGATGCATTATCTTGCACTTATCCACATTAAATGTCAGTTGCCACAACTTTGACCATTTTTCTAGTTTACCTAAATCATTTGCCATTTGGCTTATCCCTCCTGGAACATCAACCCTGTTACATATCTTAGTATCATCAGCAAAAAGACATACCTTACCATCAAGACCTTCTGCAATATCACTAATAAAAATATTAAAGAGAATGGGTCCAAGTACAGATCCCTGAGGTACCCCACTGGTGACAAGTCCAAGCTTCGAATATATTCCATTAACTACAACCCTCTGTTGCCTGTCACTCAGCCACTGCCTTACCCATTCAACAATATTGGAATCCAAACTTAAAGATTGCAGTTTATTGATAAGCCTATGTGCAACAGTGTCAAAAGCCTTACTGAAATCTAGGTAAGCAATGTCTACTGCACCACCCTGATCTCTAATTTTAGTTACCCAATCAAAAAAAATCAATAAGATTAGTTTGGCATGATCTCCCTGAAGTAAACCCATGTTGTCTCTGATCTTGAAATCCATGTGTTTTTAGATGTTCATCAATCCTATCCTTTAACATGGTTTCCATCACTTTCCCCACTACTGAAGTAAGGCTTACTGGCCTATAGTTGCCCGACTCCTCCCTATTACCTTTCTTGTAAATGGGCACAACATTCGCTAACTTCCAATCTTCTGGGACTACTCCTGTTAACAATGATTGGTTAAATAAATCTGTTAATGGTTTTGCTAGTACACCACTAAGCTCTTTTAATAGCTTTGGGTGTATTCCATCAGGTCCCATTGACTTATTTGTCTTTACTTTTGACAGTTGAAATAGAACCTCTGCCTCTGTAAACTCACGTGTAATAAATGACTCATTTATCCTTTTTCTCAACTGAGGTCCCTTTCTTTCATTTTCATCTGTAAATACAGAACAAAAATATTCATTGAGGCAGTCAGCTAGACCTTTATCCTCTTCTACATACCTTCCTTCTTTTGTTTTTAATCTAACTAATCCTTGTTTTACTTTTCTTTTCTCATTTATGTATCTAAAAATGTTTTATCCCCCTTTTTTACTGACTGTGCTATTTTCTCTTCTGTGTGTGATTTGGAAGCTCTTATAACTTGCTTAGCCTCTTTCTGCCTAATCTTATAGATCATTTTGTCTTCCTCACTCTGGGTTTTTTTTATAATTCCTAAATGCTAACTTTTTGTTTTTAACTATTTTGGCCACATCTGCGGAGTACCACAGTGGTTTCTTGAATTTTTTGCTTTTACTGACAAGCCTAATGCAATTTTCTGTTGCCTTCAGTAGTGCAACTTTTAAATAATCCCATTTCTCTTGGACTCCATTTAAATTGCTCCAGTCTGATAATGACTCCTTTACACATATTCTTATTTTAGAAAAGTCTGTTTTTCTAAAGTCTAAAACTTTTGTTTTTGTGTGGTGTGACTCAGTCACTGTTCTTATATTAAACCACACTGACTGATGATCACTGAATCCTAAACTTTCACCTACAGTAATATCTGATACCAAATCTCCATTTGTTAACACTAAATCTAGTATGGCCTCTTTACGAGTTGGATCCTCAAGGACTTGTTTTAGAGACAATCCCAGTAGGGAGTTTAGAATATGTGTTCTCCTGGCACAAGCAGCTATTTTTGTTTTCCAATTCACATCAGGAAGATTAAAGTCACCCATGATGATAACTTCCCCCTTCATTGTCATTTTAGCTATTTCCTCAACTAGTAGATTATCTAACTCTTCAATTTGTCCTGGGGGCCTATAAATCACACCTACACGAGTTACTGTATGATTACCAAATTCTAACGTAACCCAAACGGACTCTATGTTCGCCTCACTAACTTTTATTATGCTAGATTTTATGCTATCCTTCACATACAGGGCCACCCCTCCCCCTTTCTTGCCTTCCCTGTCTTTTCTATATAAAGAGTACCCTGGTATTGCTCTGTCCCAGTCATTTTTCTCATTATACCATGTCTCAGTAACAGCGACTAAATCTACACTATTAGTTGCCATTATTGCCACAAGTTCATGGATCTTATTCCCTAAACTGCGAGCATTTGTAGACATGACTCTAAGCTTATCATTTTTTAACACACTTGCTACAGGCACATTCTGTCCTTGTTTTGGGGGACAATTGGAATGATGTTTTATCACCCTTTTGCCCCCACCCCCTCCTCCTAGTTTAAATACATCCTAGCAAAACCTCTGAACTGCTCACTGAGAACATTTGTTCCCTTTTGAGAAAGATGCAAACCATCTTTTTTGTACAGGTTATTTCCATTCCAAACAGAGCTACCATGAGAAATAAAGCCAAGTCCTTGCTCCCAACACCATTCACCAAGCCACAAGTTAAAGTCCCTAATATGCATCCGCCTGTCGTTCTAAGTGTTATGCACAGGCAGAACTTTAGAGAATGACAGTGTGGAAGCAACCTGCCATATATCATTGGCAAAAACACTAAAAACTTCCTCTGAAACCTCATTGCAAGCCAAGTCATTTGTCCCTAGATGGACAAGTACATCCAATTTCCCTTCCTGCTTTGCTTGCTTAACAATATTACAGATACGTCTCCTGTCTCTGTGAGCAGTAGCTCCGGGAAGACACCTCACAAGACCACCATTGTCCATCTCCACACCTCTTATGATGGAATCCCCCAACAACAACTGCTTTCTGTTAGGCCTCACCATAGTCTCCAAGCCTGTCTCCACAACACCATTAGCCTCAGTGTCTGAGCCTGTCTCCACAACACCAATAGCCTCAGTGCCTCTCTCCACAACACCACTACCCTCAGTGCCTTTCTCCACAACACCACTACCCTCAGTGCCTCTCTCCACAACAGCACTAGCCTCAGTGCCTGTCTCCATAACACCATTACACTCTGAAAGTGCAGAAAATGAATTATGTAGAGCAACAGACAGTGCAATATGCCTTTTTTCCACAACTCTAAGTCTACCAGATCCTACAGTAATCCATCTGCCATTCCTAGTATGTCTCTGTGGCAGTGGCTTTGCAGCAGTTGCAGCCTGAGTTTGTTTACCAGATAATTTACAAATCTCAGACTTCAAAAATACAATATCCTGCCGCAAGACAGAGAACTGTCTACAGACTAGACAACAACCAAACCTCCAAAAAGTGGAACGTGAAACAAATGCATAGCAACTATTACACTGAACTAAGTCTGCCATTCCAGTGAGGTGAATCATTTAAATTAAACAAATCTTAACTTTTTATTTATCCTCCTGAATACCTCAGATTACCTCCAGTTTATCTCCAGAATATCTCCAACCACACACTTAAAAGCAACACTCTCCAGAATATCTACAACCACACACTTAGAAGCAGCAATCTCCAGAATATCTCCAACACACACTTAGAAGCAGCAATCTCCAGAATATCTCCAACCACACACTTAGAAGCAACACTTTGAAGCAACCAAGCTATACATTGCACATATTGGTCTTTAATTAATATTTTTAGAAGAGCTTTTGAAATTATTCAATAATATATCATAAAATACCCAATAATATTAAAATATTTTTTCAAATATTGCATACTTTTAAAAATGTATCCAAAGATATTCAATAATTTGCAAAGCTTATCCAAAAAAATATTAAATCAAAGCCATTATTAGTAAGCTTATTTTACGTCTGGTTCATTAAGAGTTATATGAGTTTGGACAGCATCCAGTTCACATCATGGCATGCAAATGTCCCAATGGCATTTCCTTCATCAAAAAGGAAACTACACCTATTTGAAGTTTAGCCTATAAAACATTTCCTGGAAAGAGAATGCTATGAAAATCTTTTAGGGATTAATATTTGAAATGTCGGTAAAACAGGAAGGGACAATCTTGTAACATTTAAAGAGAAAAATAAAAGGGATTTACAGTTCCTAAAATTCTAAACTTTAATCAAAGCAGTCACAAACTCAATAGTGTATTAAAAACAGTCTTTGTTTAAGAACAATCAAACTGACAGGCCTTTCATAATTTCAAAGATTACTCTACTTCCATAATATATATACCTATACGTCTTTATATCTAAATAGATAGCACTAAGGGCAACTTGTAAGTTATATTTATATACAATTGTGCTCAAAAGTTTGCATACCCTTGGATCACTGGTATTATATGTACGGAAGGAAACATGAGTGAGCAGGCAAAACATATTTCTTTTATTTATTATGGGATGCATATTCAACTGTAGGTTAAAACAGAATGGCACAATAATAAAACAAAACATGGCAACAAAGAAAAAAATTAAATGACCCCTGTTCAAAAATCTGCATTCCCTTAGTTCTTACTACTGGGTATTGCCCGCCTTAAGCATCAATGGCAGCATGCAGTCTTTTGTCATAGTTGTCTATGAGGCCCCTAATTCTTGCAGGTGGTATAGCTGCCCATTCCTCTTGGCTAAATGCCTCCAGGTATTTGGTCGTCTTGCATAAACCGCACGTTTGAGATCTCCACAGAGTGGCTCAATGATATTAAGATTAGGAGACTGTGATGGCCGCTTCAGAACCTTCACCTTTTTCACTGGAGGGTCAACTTGGCCTTGTGCTTAGGGTCATTGTCATGCTGAAAAGTCCAAGAGTGTCCCATGAGTGTCCCTTCATGCAGAAGAATGCAAATTGTCTGCCAGTATTTCCTGATAACATGCTGCATTCATCTTGCCATCAATTTTCACAAGATTCCTTGTGCCTTTAGAGCTCACATACCCCCAAAACATCAGTGAGCCACCACCATGCTTCACAGTGGGGATGGTATTATTTTCACTATAGGCCTTGTTGACCTCTCTTCAAACATGGCACTTATGGTTGTGACCATAAAGCTCAATTTTGATCTCGTTACTCCAAATTACAGTGTGCCAGAAGCTGTGAGGCATGTCAAGGTGTTGACGGCATATTATTGTAACCAGGCTTTTTAGTGGCATTGGCTCAGTAAAGGCTTCTTTCTGGCAACTTAGCCATGCAGCTCATTTTTGTTCAGTCATCATCGTATTGTGCTCTTGAAACAAACATACCATATTTTTCCAGAGCAGCCTGCATTTCTCCTGAAGTTACCTGTGGATTTACTTCTGGCAGTTGTTGCTTAAATATTTCTTGGTCTACCTGACCGTGGCTTGGTATCAAGAGATCCCCAAATGTTCCACTTCTTAATAAGTGATTAAACAGTACTGACTGGCATTTTCAA